AAAAAAAAAAAAACATTAGAAAAGAAAAAGAGAATCATTCGTGAAGAAAATCCAAGTAGGTCCAATATATATTCGTCATTTTTCATTGGAACTATGCAGATTACCATAAAGCTGAAATCAACCCACCCAGCAGATCGTACATTCGTTGCCGTGAAGGGGTCGATTTCTCATTTTCGAATATTTTACGTTGCTGTACGTACTGGTCCTTCCAACGGTGGATCCTATCAAGGACAGCACGTAAAGATTCCTAGATGTCCAACCAGCTTTGTGTGCAAGAAGAGGAACGCAAAGACGTCCGGTGATGTCTGAGATAGCTTGGATGGACATTATGGTTGCGATCGAATCCCTTTCAAGACCGGAAAGTTCGGTTAGCACGAAAGGGATCATCATGTTAAAGTTTGTTTCAGCGACTAAAGACACTCCCATACCTGTCGTGAATCAAATGCAGGATTGACATAAGTGTAATTATTATGATAATAATATTATTTCAATATTATTGCTGTAAATGTAATTATTATCTAACTATTATGATAATAATATGATAATAATATTATTTGAATATTATTGCTGAATTATCTGTCTCTATATATTATTATGATAATAATATGATAATAATATTATTTGAATATCAAAGACACTCCCATTAAAGACACTCCTATACCTGTCGTAAATCAAATGCAGGATTGACGTAAATGTAAGCTAATTATTATGATAATAATATTATTTGAATATTATTGCTAAATTATCTCTCTATATGTTATTATGATAATAATATGATAATAATATTATTTGAATATTATTGCTGAATTATCTGTCTCTATATATTATTATGATAATAATATGATAATAATATTGCTAAATTATCTGTCTCTATATAAATACTTACTGTATACATATTTCATATCTTTTATGCTAAGAGACAAATGATAGATAAGAAAAAGAAGCTAATCGTTATGAGAAATTGACAAGATTATTATCGTAATGTTGAATACGAGTGTTCCACAGTTTTTTAACTGAGATAATAATTTGTAAATTATTTTTTATTAGTTCTACTAATTTCCTAGTAATTTTTCATCCATTATTTCATTCATTTCTTTTATGTGCTGATTTCATTCGTGTCTTATTATTAATTTGGTAATCTTGTAATATAAGGATTTATATAATAATTCGTGACTATATATCTTTGCTATTATCTTTCATAGAATACGAATCAACAATTACTAAAATGTTACTATCTTCAATATTCTCTTATCTACTGTTTTTATTTAAAAGTGGTTTGATATACTTATCATACCTTTTTTTTTTTGCCGATCAATGCACTTTCGAACTGCGATAAATTATAATCCATATTTATTCTCTAGCTATCTCTAAATAAACGTACCTCAATCTGTGACCTGCTGATCACTTTTGTTGTTAATTAGAAAATAATATTTATATATTTGCAGACTTGGTCATCTCGATTGTCTTTTTTTTTATATTTTTATTAAATATGTTTGTCCGCGGACAAGAAAAAATATAACATGAAAAATGGATTTTAATAATGATACGTTCAAACACCTAAGATTCTATTAAATTTTCCTCCTTGTTTCTTACACATTTCTCGAATAGATTAACGCTATAAAAATCGCCAACGTAATCACATAATCCTCAACGCTTACTGATCCCTGCAATTGTTTCTGAAATAATTTTTATACGCAGAATTACCTATGATAACAGCGACGTAACGACCGTCCTTTAAAAGAGCAAGGTCCATGTGCTCTGTTATTTTTCTCAAAATCGATTTCTTCTCTTCTTTCGTACTCTCGTTGATTATATTCTTCGACAAATGCTCCCCAGCACTGTTTGCCCTTCGCTCCAATGTTTCTTCCAACAGTCGACAATTGGCGCCATCGTGGCGAACGTCAGTCACATTCCCGGTTTCGTTCGCTATAATTTTGTCGTTGCACTCTGCGGAAGATGCCGTGATGTCATTGTCCTTTGTTATACTTGTAATCTATTGCAAATCAAAGCTAACCGTGAACGTTAATCGTTGCTACCTCAGCGTAATTTTAAGAAGACAGTGAACGATAGAGCTCTGTTTTAACACCATTTCGAGCAAAATAATGTTTATGCATTCGTAAAGAGAAACATTGTATGCAAAAAATACGTAAAGTAAAATATTCGTTAATGTGAACGTTCACGCAAGTAAAAATTTCACATTCTCTTTCACAGTCTCATCGTCGTTTGATTGTTCATTTAACGAGCCAATAAATCGATAGAACAATTTGCAAAAAAAAAAAAAAGAAATTAATCGAGTTGAAAATATATAAAATTGATCAACCTGTTTGTAATTATTCTCTCAGAGTAATTTCATTCGATTCAGTGTCTTCTTAACAGAGCACGCTTGTTTGAACTCACTTCTTTTTCCTGAAATGGTTTCAGTAACGCTGCGCCGATCAATGAATGCATTGCTATGCCCGCGATGATCAAAAGAGTACCAGTGGTAGCGTAAATTTCCAATAGTTTCGCTACTAAAAGAGGCATCAAAATAGGTCCAAGGCCGGTCAAAGTTACCGACAACCCCATAGCCACGTTACGTTTTTTCCGAAAGTATGTGTTCATTGCTAGATTCGTCGCTGGGAACATGATCCCATGACCGATACCTATAAATTACAATTTGATATTAATATTCTATGCTATTCTGTTGAAATTCAGTACAGTGTGCAATCCAAAAATATGTATTAATTATAGTTTAAAAAACAAGTGAACATTTTCGTTTATAAGATAAAAAAAGAGATCTAATCTTGGTAAAGAGTCTATTGCTACAATGTTGCTATTTAAGTACTTGTCTAAGATCCACTTACTGTGTAAATGCCCCTTATCTTTTATTTAATCTCTTAATATTCGCTATCTGACAAATCGACCGTCTTATCGAGTGATCTTTACACCGGGCATTTCTTATTTTTGGCAATTTAAAAAGAAATCCAGAGGAAATTAGAAGGAACAATGACTTCTTTGAACGAATGAATATCACAATATTCTCACTTCTCGAAGGAATTTATCCGACAAACAAGATCTGCCTCAAATGTTCGAGCAGAAATAAATATTCCTAAAAGTCTTGCAACATATTGTTTATAGAATGGTTTCGCGTCGCGACAGAATTTATTTGTCCGCTTTTACTTTCACTTTTTGTCCTTTTACTTACATTCTCGTGAGTACGAATTTGAGCATGAATCGCGAGACTAACGCATTGTATAAATGTACGATGGAGATTACTTACCGACGATAAAGCAATAAGTGATAATGATGGAGGGCAGTGAAACCGCGAACGCAACCGCACTGATCCCAATGGCAACGATGACACCGCCAAGAAAAGCGACCCTTCGGAACGTGAATCTCTTCATCATTGGGCCGCTTATCAGACCGAGGCTGCTCGTGATCGTGCCATTTAAATGAACAATTAGCGATGTCTGCGTGGCAGTGATATCGAGCGAAAAGAAACGTTCCCTAAAGATTAGACCGAAGCTTTGTTGTATCGGAAGTATCGCCAACTGCAACGTGGTCATTTTTCACAGGTCATTGAAAATGCATTTGTATTTTATTTACATAGTGTAAAAAACTGTCTCAGGTCATTTAAAACTGCTTACAATAGAATTTTGGGGTGACATTACAATTGCAATAATATTAAAATAATATAGCGATAGCGTATATAAATAATTTTTATAATGGTACACAATGTTTGCAGCAACAGCGTGTGTTACCAAGCTGTGAATAAATGTGAAAGTGATTTGATAATTCAGTAAATTTCTGATATTTGTTACACGTGTCTTGATAAATGTTGTCATTTAATTCCCTTGATATCTTTTTTCAATCAATATCATAAAATGTCACCTATGTCTAAAAATGAAGAAGTTAATACTTGGGTACATATAATTTATTTTCAAAGCAAATATCTGTTCTATTTCAGTATGCTGAATAATCATACTGATTATATTTCGTAATATTATACATATAATGCATATAAATATACGTAATACATATAAATATATACGTAAACAAGACGTGTAAAGAAAAGGGAAAATAAATGAAAGCGTACAAAAAAATAAATCGACGTTTGGTACTTCGAATATAAAAATATTATTTATCCTGTTTACAATTTTTTTAGTGGTTTCATGATGAAATACGTTCCTCAAAATATTTATTAAAAATATAACTTATTGTTAAACATAAACGTGATTGTAAAGTTGAGTTTAAATATTACGGAACTGACAAATTTAATAATATAGAATTTATTTCCTTTATTTAATTGTAAGTAATAATTATATAGCAGATCGAATGAAATTTTTAAAATATCGATATATGTACATATACAGAATTTTTAAAATGTAGATATATATGTACAGTATATAGAATAAGTCACAACACTTTTTTGACTGAACGACCTTTGATTTTTATATTCTAAAACGAAGCGAAAGTAAACACATGTTTCTGTCCTTAACAGTTTGTTAACTAGAATCTTTATGCGAAACTTCACAATTTTTATATAAATTGTAAAGATAATATATAAAAATACGTGATCTTAGTTTAAACTATCATAACTTTGTGTGAAAAAAATCGTAGAGCAATTAACTTGGGCTTATTTTAAAGCATTTTACCTTGATAAGAGCTTTGATGGTCATAAGATTGTTTCTTTTTTTTTTCTTTTAATATTCCAGTACTGTGTAGAAATGAAAAATTGCAAAGAATATTTTTTTTTCCCTTAATTGTAAAAATTCAAACGTCTGTAGAAACATTTGAAAGATTCTTTTCATAACTAAATCTAGCACCGTTTTAAAGATCGAATCTTTTCCTTTACTCGACAAATCGACAAATTTTCATCGAATAGTTTCGCGGATCAGCATACATGTAACAAAATATCTGAAATAAATGCTTTAGTAAGCAACTCCTCACTCAGTAATAATTTTATTTTTATAAAAGTATAGATTCATAGTACAGTCATCCACAGTCTAACGATAACCGGATAGATGACAGATCTGATAGGTAGAATTGAAAAACAACAAAAATTTGGGTGAAACTCACATTAATGATTGTTACGCCGGCGACGATTACCCAGGCCCAACCTTTGTCAGCTTCACTACGTGACATCTTATCGATCATCATCGAGATTCCACTTTCATTTGCACGTTACGAGTCCTGAAGGAATGACAAGCGCACGTCGTGAGGGATCTTCTGTTCCTTTTGACTTGTCTTGAAGCCGATGACAGACTGCAAACTTAACGTGTCGACGAAGATGGTATTGGACAAATGATAAGATACGGGCTGCTCTGGATAAGTGTTAAACGTTATATATACGCCAACGCAGGCATATGTATTTACATACAACACGTTTACAATTCCTTAACTCTACAGTGAAATCGAAACGAGTCGCTGCTCGACGAGTCGAGAGCCAACGATGTATGGTTCTTTGCTGGTAATTTAATTTATTGAGGATATTCGTGCCAATTATTATTTTTTAATTATATCAGGGATACAATTAAATAGGTTGAAAATTATTTTAGTATTATATTTCGGGGAGAAAATTATTTTACTGCTATAACTTGGATATTTTAAAAAATTATATTGCTACTTTTATATATTTTTATATATTTTTATCAGATACACAAATAGAAAAATTATTTTATTATCATATTATTATTTTATTATTATATCTTGGATATTTTAGGTATTATTATTTCATTATCATATGTTGGATATTTCAGGCAGGGAATTGCTTCGCTACTATATTTTGAATAATTTAAATAAAAAATTGTTTTACTGCTATATTTTACAAGCTACTAGGTAGAACAAATAGAAAATTATTTTGCTGCTGTATCTCAAACATTTCACATATTTCTGCATAATACTATCTGTCCTGCATTCTAACAATTCTCTTTTATCAATATCCCAATCATTCAAACTGATAAAATTTTGTTTGAATGTAATTACGAAATCATGTTTCGTGCTGAACATGATACCTACATGACGCTTACGTAGATGTATGTAGGTATTACATGAACTGTTTACAGTTCCGTAACTTCACAGAGAAATCGTAACGAGTCACTGTTTGAAGAGTCAATGACGTTCGCTATTATTTATTATTCGTAATTAAAGTGTGTCTTTATGAAGGGTTAATTTGCAACTTGATGTCTTAAAATTCACATTTTACATTTTTTTTTTTTTAATTACAACGGTGGAGAGTTAACAAATTTAAGTGATATTATTACAAATTAATTACGATTTATTGAACATCACTGAATCAAAAAATTTAATTTGTTTGTCGATTTATTTATTTAATTGGTTCCTCTGTTGATAAATTTATTGAGTGAAAGTGAAGTCAGTACCATTGACTTCACACTTGAAGCACAGACGAGGTAAATACGATCTTGCCAAAGACCATCATTACAAATAATTAATTTAAAATTTTAAATAGTACTTTAAAATGTTATAGAGGAGAATTTATTGTTTAATTGTGTGTGTGTGTGTGTATTCGTTTTTATCTATAGGAATTTACTGTATGACTTATATAATTCATAATTTCGAAAAAAAAGAGGAATAATTTTCAAGTTTATTATATTGTATTGTTATAAATTAAATATGTGTATATGTGTCTTTATCTGTTTACATAATTTTATCTGTTTATATTAATTATTAATTTCAAGTGTGTATTATTATAAGATACAGAAGAAGATACTGAGAAACACTATATTTTTATTTTTTCAATGTTTTATTGAAATTAAATTACATTATCTGTAATTCAATGATTAATTCTTTTTATTTAATGCGATTATTCGTATTTCTTAATGTTTAATTAATCTAATTAATTTTTATAAAATATACTATGATTATATTTTAATACATAACATCGGAAACAAGAAAGATGCATTTTATATATTTTTAATATTTCCTATAATATATTTAAAAATTAATTAGCAAAGCGAGTATTATTATAAAGACTTACAATCAGAGATTTCAGAGATCGAAATAAGCTTTGATTTATATGTTTGAAAGAAAAATTCAATTAAAAAATGCACGAATTAGTCATGGTTCACTATGATAATAGTAATCCAGTAAGTAATCCAGTGCACTATGATAGTAGTAATCCAGTTAATGACAACGTGGTTCAACTACAAAGAATGAACTTCTCTCTATTATGTATCCTATTTTAGTCCATTGTTTAATAATAGTTTGATGATCCCCGTTAATTTGTCCAACTAGCATTTGACCAAGTGAAAATGACCACTTGGTACTCATACGTGGTACTTTTTTTTAGCCTCAGATGTTTAATAGGATTCAATTGGATTATGAATTTTATGCTTTAAAGAGACGTTTAGTAAATGTTGGTTGAGAAACTTCATTTCAATCCCTCATTGTGTTAGAAATGATTAATTATTATTAAACGAAATTACAATTTACAGAATAATGAAGAGAATAATTTTATAAAAATAGTTGATAAGATGAAATACATAACTAAATTACAGTTCTTTACGATCCTCTGATTATTATCTGTTTTTATAATCTTTATTTTCTGATTTCTTTTCTGTTTTAAATGATCGAAGTACATGCATGAATATTTTTTCTTCTCAGATATGCTTTCAATTCTTCTAACATGATCTGTAACATTATTACGTTTAAATAAATAAAACGAAAATTACTTGTGCAAACAGATAAATGAAGATAAAGTAATTATTATACAAAACATGATTTATTAAATAAATAAATTTAATGCAAAGTAAGGTAAATCAATTTCATTCAAAAATGCGAGTTAATCAATTAACTTTATTACAGAAATACGTAAATTCTTCTTAATAAACTAAAGTATAAATTATGTCAGTTTCAATAGAACGTAGATCAAGAAAAACGTCACTTTGGAATACGTAACGTGGGAAGAAAGATCTTCCAATTAATCCTTCTGACCTTCCACTTGCATAAAATATTAAATATTCATAAAGAAAATTGTTTGGAAAAAGAAAAAAAAAAAATCTTACGATTCATTACTTATAGCGAACGATACAATCTCTCTATTACGTAAACTAAAAGTCTCTTAATGCGCAGCGAAAGAATACTTACAATTCCCTTCGAGCAAAATGCAGTTCCTCATTTCTCGTCGCATTGCTTCGATCATGACGTTGACGCATTAAACGATTACATTGTTACATTCCCACTTGGTTCATTGCCAGCGTTGAAAACACGTTCTCTGAACGAGAAACAACATTCTCCGAACGAGAACGACTGAGACGACGAAAATTACGACACACTTTCCCAACGCGTTTTATTCATTCAATAGTAGAAGTGTCTTCTGGCGAAACACAGAAAGGCCGGAAAACTTTTCACTGGTGGCTCTCTTCTCACCGAAGGCGCAAAATAATGAGCAAACATGTGCTCCGAACGGAGCTGCGGACTATTTGTGACTGGCTCGATGAAGGGAAGTCAGCCGATTAAAAACCGGCTTCGTGACTCGACTCCAAGCCGAGACTGGTCTCTGACTCGCGGCTTTATTTACATGCCGTCGTTGAAACCGCGGTCCTACGTGCCTCGCTGCATGGACAATCGACTTGTAAACGTGAAATGATAATTCGCGTAACGAGGAAAAATGATTTCGAAGGTTACGAATGCTTAGTGGGAAATTTAAATTTCAATACGGTGGTTATAGCAGTGAATGATCCGCGTAAATTGATCATCACAAATAAGTTCTGAACTATGCGAAATTGCATGATAAGGCACATTATGTGATTCATGTATTTCTTTTTTAAATGGAATGTGAATTTGTTTCAAAATTATCCTCTTTATTAACAGATTTGTATAATTTTAATTACAATAATAGTACAAATTCAGTATATTATTTTTCGTCTGAAGAAGCAGGGAAATATTGTACAGATTTAATAACTCGATTAGTAAGTAACTTTTTAACATAAGATTACATTTGTACATGGAAATTAGGACAATTTTTCTTAGCCCTTTCACTTTAAATTTTCATCGAAGTTTCTACTTGAAACGTACGTAGTTACAAATGTCAGGTACATGTCATTATGCGAACAATAATATGAAATCTATAATTAATATCGTAGTATTTAAATGAATATTAATTGTTAATTACATTTATTATACTTTAATATATTTAGTTTGAGATGAAAAGATCAAATTTGTGAAAATGAGGTATTTATTTTAAAAATTGAGTTCAAGAATATTAAAAGTTGAAATATCACAAAATTGGATACATGGACTTTCGAAATTAAAATTCGAGGTATCATACGTATTTAAAAAATAGTTATGTGCAAAATACGCCTGTAAGTAGTCTCTATATTATAACTAAAATATTATTAGAAAAAATATAAGAGGCAGAATTATCAAATACAATTTTCATCTGTGCAATTGTTGCGTTATATATTGTAGAGTAAATAGCGTTGTGAAATATCTTTTACAAATCAATTAACAGGTTAGTATAAATATCTATAGAAAATAATACGTGATGGGATATTACAATATTCACGTATACAAATAATAGAATATTTCGATGAAATAATGTTCATTGGCTGATCGAGATCTAAAACTCCAATCTAATTTCTTCTTACGAAATTTCGACCATGATTATTCTATCACTGCGTTTCGCGCTTGTTTAGCTAAAACAGATCTTCTGTTTTTCAATTTTTCGTATATAGACTCGATACTCCATGTAATGAAAGTGACGCTTATCATTAGTGTCATGACGTGTATACAAAGTGCATAACTGTTGCTGACGTCTCTGATGTATCCTAAGGCAGAAACGAAAATTGATTAACGTAAAAAAATTGTCGCCTTATCTAATAATAACGTGATATGTATAATCTGTCTTAAGATTCTATAATATATGTTTTAGAACACTTGAAAGTTTAAGTGCACGAACAGATAATTTCACTCGGTTAAATGATCAAAAACTTACCAATTGCAGGACTCAAGATTACAACGAATAGACCTTTAAATACCATAAACATTCCAAAGGCACTGGGCAGCTTGTTCAAGGGGCAATATTCAGAAACGGTAAGATTCAGATTGACCAAAGTGGCGCCACGTAGAAATCCTATTACCACGAATGTTACTATCAAAAGTGTTCCTTTAGATTGCGCCGCCATGACTGCAAAAACACGATCAACAAGAATTAGTAAGAACGAAGCTGGAGACAAGAAAATATTGCGTAAAAAGTACTTAAGAAATTGTTCAGTTTGGTACATCAATGATCGCAGTGAAAATGGAAAATTTTATTAATTTGTAGATTTGGTCATTTCTAGATACGAGCAACTCAACAAATAAAGTAGAATACTTACTAGAACGTCCAGCTCCAACTAGAATGCAAAACACCCAAAAGACGATTCTCTTTCTGAATCCGAATCTGTCGAAAATAGTTGGTAGTAGAAGACGGGCAAGGATGTCGGTGAACGCAGTTATCGACAAACAAGAGGCAACTTCCGCTTTGCTCATTCCTGTCGACCATCAAGTTCCTTCGAAAAGTCTACCGAAATACAACCTAAAAAATAGTGCATAGTGGAACGAAATCTAAAGAAATCGCGATAAAACAACGAGAAATTCTAATATCACGTGATTTATTTTTCCCGAGCTTATTTCATTGAATGATATAAAAATTAAATGAAATATATCGCTGAAATATTTTCAACCTTTTCTTCTTTTATAAATATCAATAAGTTATATTATAAATATGAATAGGTATCACTAAAATACGTAATACGAAGTAAAAAGATAATTACAATCAGACGTGAAGGAAAATTAAACAAAATAAAAAGCTGGATCAATTCCTGATCGAATGAATAATCGGACATAATCTGTCAATAAAAATATCCATTCCGTTTCTTTCCAATATTAACTTCCACTATGAAATTCTACAATCTTTCGACAACATTCGTTGTATTTTGCTCGAGGTTTCGTTCCACTGTATCCACGCAGCTAGGATGTTAGATAAGAAATAGAACTTTGCTGCACGTTTCTATTAATTCCTGCAATATTTTTTTCTTTTTTTTTTTTTTTTTCTTTAAAGAGGAATTAATACGTATTTTCATCGAAATT